TTTTAATGTTTACCAAACAGGGGCTAAATAATATGATAAATTAAATTAAACTGTTCCTTACTCCTGATAAGATATGATTGGATCAGAATTTCTTCAAAAAAAAAACATTATTCTCTTTTTTATACCTCATTTATGTGTAAATCATTATATAATTCTTTATGTATAAATAACATTATTTTTAAAACCGGATGAGTCATTTTATTCATTCTTCCAAAATTTAAATGAATAGTCACATTCTAAAATCGTGTTCTCAATATCGTGCAAGAAGTTTTAAGGGAAAAAAATAAACATCTCAAAGAAACTTTATTTTTAAAAAAGTATATTCTGCAATTTAGAAAGTATCAATAAATTTAGAGAGTAAAAATTTTTAAATGCTCCAACAGGCTCTTTATATTTAACGGTTAGCATATGTTTGAGTCCCATTTTTTTTTTTTGTCTAAAATACATTTTGAAATAGTATTTTGTTAAAGAATGTGTTGTTAAAAAATAAGGAAAAATTTTTTATTTACGTGTGATATTATTTTATTGAAAAATGTATGATTGAAAATAAAAAAGAGAAAATGTATTTTGAAAATAATAGATATCAAACAAGAGCTTAATTTTACTACTCCAAAATAATACTTATTGTTTTTTTCATATATTTTATTTTTAGTAATTTTCCTCTAAATTATTGTATTTTTTTCTTCATTAAAAATTGAAATAATTTAAATGCATTTAATTATAGAAAGCGGGTTTGGCTCTCCAAAACCCACTATTTAAATTAAAATGTGAATTTAAATAGTCTTTTGAAGTATAATTTAAAAAATCGACTATTTAAATTAGAGAGTATTTTATGTTTAACGAGTATTTTGAGATACTCTTATATCTTTCTAATATTAAATAATAATTAATATTTCATGATAAAATTTAAATTTCTAGACGAAACTCTAGTTAATGACAAAACATTTCATGATTCAACTCAATATTTCTATTCGCACCATGCATAAGATCCACTCTTCACCTAGCCCATGGTTTCTCTCTCTCTCTCTCTCTCTCTCTCTCTCTCTCGCATATATATCCATTCCTATATCTTGCACTTTTTCCCAACATCATCCACAAATTTCTTGATTTTTTTCCTCCATAGTTTCCCACTAAAATCCAGTTATAACACAAGAAAAAATCAAAAGAGAATATCTATTTCCACACACAAAATACATTTATAGATAAACAGCCCCTAAGTTCTCTTGCATGCAAAAACAGTTTGAAGGTGAAAGAAAAGCAACCATTCATTCTTTTTTAAGTTTTCTCGATGACAAAAGAGGATGTAGATTTGGTAGAGCAAAGGAGATCAAGTAGAGTTGAACATAAGGTTATTAAGAAGAAGAAGAAGAAGAAGAGGTGCAAAAGAAAGGTGAGAATTCAAGTGAAGAGGCCTGTGAAAATGATTTCAAGGACACTGCAGAAGCTATTTGATTTATGCCAACAAGTTTTTAAGGGTCCTGGCACTGTTCCTTCACCCAGTGATGTGCAAAGATTGTGTCACATTCTTGGTGAGTACAGTGTGTGTATGCATATTGTATGGATGTTATAGTTATTGAATCGCATCATCTAAAATCTTAAAGTTAAATTTTGGGACCTCGATGGCTTATTTGCACTTCTTTCTTAAGATTTTTTGGGATTCAAGGTGCCTTATTTTGATCCAATATCTTGACATTGTAGGCTCAAATTTCAAAATCCAAGAGGATTAATATTTCCTTTAATTCCCCTTTGGTTTTCTATTAATTTGAGATTTTGGATATTGAGTTGACGATTTCATGATTATTGCCAATAAAATTTGCTTCACAATTGGAGTTGTGCATAAACAATGTGATCAATCTGTGGGCATTAGTCATAATTTGACTATTGAACTACTTCGTCTAAAAGTCAAAGAAGTCGACGCACTCACAGTTTTCATAAACGAATGGTAACAAGACTTGATATCGTGACCTTATGTGATTAGATCGCGTTGAACTATCTTATTTAAAAAGTCATTTGAGATTAACATATTTATTCAATTGGGTACATTAAAAATCCTCGAATAGTTATTCAAGTGATCTTAATATTAGTAAGCACATCTAATGCTTAGACCAAATCGACCTTCACCGAATTGTAGACTACTCGCAGTAGATAAAAAGTACATCGAACACATACAAAGTTTTACCATGAACCTATTGTATCCATTAGCATTTAAGATTGTGCTTCTCTGATCAATCTTTTATTACCATTTTGTAGATGTTATGAAGCCAGAAGATGTGGGGCTGAATAGGGATCTGCAATTCTTTCAACCCAGAAGTGTAGTAGTCGAAGGGAAGCAAAGAGTTGCATATTCTACTATCTATAAATGCCATAATTTCTCTGTAAGATTGTCTCTCTATTGAAAATTCAAGCTAAATTATCAAGTCTATTAACTTTGTTTCATGCTTATCGCAGCTGTGCATTTTCTTTCTTCCTGCAACTGCTGTCATACCTCTCCACAATCACCCCGGGATGACTGTTTTCAGCAAGCTTCTGCTCGGGACTATGCACATTAAATCATATGATTGGGCCGATACCCATGGTTCTGATAACTACGATTCACTTTCAATATGTGAGTTGTCTCTTCGACCTGATATTACCAAAGAAGAAAAAGAAGTTAAAGTCTTGTTTATCAGTTCAAGTAATTGCGTGCAGTGAAACTGGCAAGGATGAAAATAAACAGAAGCTTCAGAGCACCATGTGAGACCTCTGTATTATATCCTACATCAGGAGGAAATATCCATGAATTCACTGCTGTAACACCATGTGCTGTTCTTGATGTTCTTGGACCTCCCTATTCTAAACACGACGGCCGGGATTGCTCATATTACAGAGAGAATTCATACGGTATTTTGTCAAGTAAGAAACTAGTTTCATTGGTACAATAATCTGTTTTTAAAGTTTTTCTGTCAACACAAAGTAATTGTCATTCCAAATAAATTTTCATCAATCCATATTCTCACAACTTTGCCTGGTTAATAAGATGCTTCACTCAAATTAAATTTTGCATTAGAGGGCATTGAGCGTTTTGGAAATCCCATTGAATATGAGTAGCGCCGGGCGTGGGTCGGGTTTGGGCCAAACCAAGCATCGAAACCATCCAAGTCGGTTCGGGTGAATTCGGTTTGGGTGAATTGATGTCCAAACCGACTCAATCATGCTGCAAAAACCAAACCAAGCCAACCCAAACTAATTCGGTTTGGATCAATTCAATTTGTATTGTCAATTTGGTCTTCAGCTTAAATTAATTAAGAAAACAAGTATCGAATTTTGAAGACACCCAACGAGTTAACAAGTCAAATCTTTCGAATTTGCTTGGTAAACTTTGAATTCCTTGGGCAAATATCGAGTTTGCTGTGCAATCTTGATTTTGAAGTTATGCAGCCAAGCAAACTCGATAATATGAACTGCATGAAATGCATCTTATTTTTATGGATTTTCATTGTCATTATTGTGGTTATTTCTATTGACTTTGTTTTTTGCACCTGCAGATAGAGATGAATTTACAAAGACAGAAGATGATGGCCATCGTTATGGATGGTTTGAAGAGATTGAAATGCCCCAAGAATCAGAAATGGATGGAATTCCGTACATGGGTCCACAAATTGATGAATCCATTTCGTAACATGTTCTTTTTCTTCATATTAAAGAATACTTCCTACCTAGTCGGTTTGGAATTATTCTACTTGTACGTTAACATAATTTACATGTGTCGTCATGTCACTTGTTGAAAGAAATTGTATTTTTTCCTCCAATCAATAACATAGTGCCACATGTAAATTATGTAACTCTTGATGTAATCCTTAATGTACTCGTAACAAAGTCCGTTGGCTTAAGGCTCCTTTCATCTTTAATTTCTACACTTCTTATTTCTTTTAACTGGTTTCATTTTCCACTTGAACATATTGGACAATATCAAAATCATAGTTTGGTATGTATCATGTTTTGATACTCCCAATGTAGACTGTAATTCGTAGTTTTTTTTCGAATCTTCTTATTTTTATTTTTTTTTGGTTCAACCCCGGAAAAAAAGTTTTGTTAGAGATTTCTCATTAACAGTACGATACGACTTGAATACACGTTTGAATCCTAGCGCGATACGACTTGAATACACCTCGTTCTGTCAGTGAAAAGGGGGGCAAACAGAAAAAAAAACTAGGCAGAAAACAGCAGCTGGAGCAAAAACCAGAATTGTTTTAAAAAGAGTACAACAATACATACTTTAAATTAACTCAAAATTTGATGCAAATATGGATCTTTAATGCAACGACGACCATATTAATGATCTATGAAGAAATAATTGAAACATGATTATAGAGAAGAGCATGCAGTAGATAAGAAATGTTCATATGTTTACTGAAATATGCCATTCTCTGTCATTCCTCATCGGAATAATTGAACTTAATCGAGTGAGATTGCAAGTCGATCTGTCCTCCTCTATAGCTACCACGCTTCTTCTTAGTTTTTTCATGCCGAAAGTCCCTGTATAAGAGAGGGAGAGAAAGTACGTCATTTAAACCCCCACGAGCACTTTATTAGTTAAGAACCACAAACTCAACATTGAGTTATCCCCATTTATGTTGTTTATAACGTGATTTCACGACCCATTCTTAGATGGTACACCCACCCGTATAATGATATTCAGATAGGCCTTAATTCAGCTCCAGTTCGACTTCAGAGCATGGAAACCAGCTTGTGAGTTTCTGCTAGCTTTATAATCTATGCATTCTTATACACTTTTTCCCAGTTCATCTCCGTAGCAGTACCCGAGTTCATTACATACATAATCTTAGCTTGTACACAAACATGCTAGGTGAACTTGACATACAATATTTCGGCACATAAAACACAGGATAACATACCTTCCTCTGACCTGACCCAAAATTTCTTGTGCTTTTGCTCCATAGCCAGTTTCGGAGCCATCCTGCGGGGAAACCACATAAAAGAAAAAATATATAAAACATAAATACATAAATACCATTGAAGAGGTCAAAATATTAAATTCACTTAAACATAGATATCTACATTCCACAAATATCTATATGTTTGTACATGTAAATATTGCAAATGCATAGTGTATCCATTAAAAAAGTGTCTATAGATGTACGAGTGCAATTGCATATAAAGGATCAATAAAGGGAACAAAGTCAAACCTTTGCCCAGTACGAATTATCTTGAAGCCTCTCATCAACAAACTTCACCTCATCAACTTTAACCCTTTGAAATGCATTCACCATTTTTGGCTGCAATAAACCATCAAACTTGTCTTTAAGAAACAACAATTATGACAACATTGGAGGTCAAAACAACATAATTGAGGCTCTGTATTCTCCATTAGAGAAGATCAGAATGTGCATGCACCCTCCTGTACCCTCCAGTTTGATCAAAATTAAATTTTTACAAAGAGGAACATCTTCAAAAAAAAAACAAGTAAAATAAATATTCTTAATTCAAAGACCCCCGTAAAAATGAGGAAAAGAAGGAAACACAAGAAAGGAAAGAGGAGATACTGCAAGAACATTTGAGAAATGAGAAGGGATACCATCAAGCATTCAAACAAGTCCCTATGTGAGACTGAAGTATGCTTTAGATAAAAGGACAATTGATAAAAGGAAAAATCAGAAAGAAAATACCTCAGCAGAACTATTTATTTGTTTTCTTGTGGATTTTGGCTGACTGGACTTTTCCACTCCATTGGGACTACCATTCAGTTGCTGCTCAATGCCCTCGGCTTCTTCCTGCCCATCAGTTTTTCTGCGCTTTGATTCTTCAACAGCTACTTCCTCAACAGGCTGCTTCCCATCTTCATCATGAGCCAATCGTTTCCTTTTCTTGGAACCCATCTTATATTCATTAGCCCCATCTTCCACTGTCTTGACTGATTTCTCTGTAGATTCTTCCTGTCTCTTCTTTTCTTTATCTTGATCTTTATCCTCTTCCAATAGAATGTCACTAACAACTTTATCAGCATCCACTTTACTCTTATTTCTAAAGCTTTCCTTCTCAACATCTTCAAAAAGAATATCCTTCTTCCGCCCTTTTCTCTTCTTTTTATCTTTAGATTCAACTAGGGCAGCAGAATCATCTTTACCATCATTTAAATCTTCGCTTTTCTCTTCAGTAACCTCAGGCATTATCTCTAGTCGTTTTTCATCATCATCAAGTAATTCAGAAGTTAGCTTACTTTTCTTTATTTTCTTCTCTTTCTGTTTCCTAGTGGATGCAGGCACTGGTATTTCACCATCAGTACCTTGCTTTGAGATTAATAATTCATGGTCACTTTGAACAAGAGAATCGGCTGTCCTTTTGTTTTTCTCCTTTTTCAACTTCGCATTTGATTCGATAACCTTATCCTGTGTCTGCACCTTTTCAGAAGTTTTTGCAGAACCCGTGACTGCAAGGTCAGTATCATTTTTATCACTCTTTTTTTTCTTTCTCACATTTTCCTTAGAGGCAGCAGAATTATTATATCCATTTTCTTCCCCTGTGCCGTCCACCTGTCGTTCTGCAACAAAAAAGGCTTGCAATAAGCACGAATTGCAACATTCACCTATATATTGTACACTACCTAAATTCTTAAGAAATAAATAACATTAGTGGCACAGGGTTTCATTTATATAGCTCACCCTGACCCTTCCGGACATCAACGTTGGTGTAAACTTCATTACTGCACATCATAGAAGCTCAGGTAGCAATAGAATCAAATTAACATGCAAATTCAACTGACGTGTACCGAATTGTTTAATTCAGCAAGGAAACACTAGAAATATCAGAAACATAAAAGAGCTATAAGGAAGGATCCCATCCACATAACAAAATTCAACCAGGGCGCAAATTGCCCAGAGAGACGGCCCTATATCCCAGGTAAAACCCAAAACCGTGTAAAAGAAATTCATCAACCATTCATATGCATATCCTCCTCCCGCCTCACTTCATTATTTAAAAAATATCACCTATAGGTGTCAAAAATATCGAAGAAAGAGTATATTTACATACATTTTTTGAACAACTTTCACTTCTCACTCAGGATAACAAAACTTGGTGAAAGTACAAATAGGTCATTTAATGATGTCATATAGAAAACTCGCAGCAGTATCTAAACTAAGTTAAAAGACTAATAACACCAAATGAGAGACTATAAAAGAAAGTGGATGCCACATTTACAAACAACAAGAACATACATGACGAAAAAAATATTGTTGTTTCGCCTTTTGCAAATTATGAAGAAGTTTTCAGGATGCATTAATTTAGTTTTATGATTAAAAAATGGTTATTATGCTGAGAAGTAACTTCCCAAGTCTCTAAATATGTGGAAAAGATATCCTCCAAATTAAGTGCTCTTGCCTCCCAATCATCATCCTGATCAAAAACAGGATTGTTTATTAAAAAATAATTTATTCAACAATCATTCTCCGAACTGTTGCTGCATATTTAAATCTTATTTACTCTTTTGCAGCATCTTCATTGGCCATGTGTTAATAATGTGAAGAACATTAAAAATTGATCCAACGAATTTGCTTCTTATATGCATGAAACCACCAAGAAATAATATTTTCTTAGTCTTTAACTAAGAAACTTATGATACAGATACCTTGAAAAACAAAGAGTCGAGAACTATGTTGTCTCTGTTGGCATTGCCAAAACATTTTAATATCATAAAACCTTTCCTCCATATACCGTGCACTTGACACCTCGGAGAGATTATAATTTTTNCAAGAAGATTGCAAACACCAGGAACAAAAAAAATAAAAAGACTAAAAATTTAACCATAGCAGAGTCCAAATTGCCTGTGAGAGCTAAAACATCAAATAAAGAGGAGCAGGGTACAACCAACAAGGACAGCGTGCAGCATTTCGTTGCCTAAACAACACATCATCCTATAAATTTTACTCTCCACCAATAAATCCAAACTTCTCCTTTTATCGTCCAACTGCATTTTATATAAGCACGTGTAGGTAAGAGCACTTTGAGCTAAGCCAAATATGCTCTAAGTAAGTTACTTATTTACTTCGAAATAACGAAAACGAAAAACAAAGTTATTAAAGCGTCTTTAGAGCTAAAAAGTGAATTTACTATTTTTTTAGGCTAAGCAAAACATACACATAGCTATCCATACATAAAACACACAAACGTATATGTACCTTAATCTGAGCTTCGGAGAGAAATCTTTTGAGGGTTTTGGAGAAGCCATAACTTTCAAGGCAGAGAGCAAATGAGTAGAAAAGAAGAGACTTCTGTTCGGGCTTCAATTGGGTCCCATTCTTTGCCATTGTATAGTGCCTTGCTGAGTTTTTCACTTTTTCCTCTGTCGCTCCGCAAGAAGTTTGGCGGGGCTTCAATGCAATTAGGGAAATTGGGCTAGGGTTTGATTCTTTAAAACGTTCGAAATAGGTGTTTAGGGTTCTGGCGTCGATGTTGTACCGTGGGTTTAAAAGAGGTTTTGACAAAGGTTGTTCGGTCAAAAAAGGCTAATTATCACAAAACGTCCCTACCTTTGGGGTGAATGTCGAAAAACGTCCATATCTTTCATTTCTTGGCATTAATACTCTTACCTTCAACGTTTTGTGCGCTGGAGGTCCTTCCATCCACATTCCGTCTAATTTTCCGTCCATGAACTACAAAAATGATGTTTAATACCAATAT